CGGGTCGTGTGTGGGGGTCCTCCCCAGCCATGTCCTCGCTGCCGGTGGTGACGCTGGCTTCTGTGGGTGCCCCCCCAGACTCAAGAGGCGCCAGTCACCTATGGCTTTGTGCAATATATATTTATTTATTTGCTGTTCTTCAGGCTACTCACGAAAAGCAAGATAATGTTTATTTTGATAGTACATTTTCATATTTAAAGCACCTTATGAATTTTAGCTATTTGATGTCCAAAAATGCCTCTGTGCAGGGGTGGTATGGTATGAACCCATATTCAGATGTATTAGTGGAGACAGAGAAATTCAATGCTATGCCCAAGACCATCAACAGAGACTCAGCACTGTAACATGGTACAGTAGAACCTGGATCATTTGTATCTGAGTGGTTAGGAACCTGCTTAATTTGCAGGAGGTTGCTGAATTAAGGACAAGCAGCTCCTTTTAAATAAAAGCCACAGCAAATAGCTGGAGCACCTCAGCACTTCCATGCAACTGTTTGCTGAAGCTCTGTTTACCCTGAGTATTTCACAAACCCTCGCACTTGTAGGGGTGTAAGGAGCTGAGCCTTGTTTAAAATTCAGGATTTTCTGGCTCCCACTGCTATTATTCTCTTTCAGAAGATTTTGCCCGGTGAGAAAATCTTAAAAATAAAACAATGAAATAACCCCCCACCGCCTGGCTCACTCCCCTTATATCCTTTAAAAGGATTCAATATTGAATATTTCCAATTCAGCTAATGTCTAAGCTTGTTACCACTGGAATCTCTTTCTCCCTCTATTTTACTGTTTAGCTTTATGCTGCACACTTTCCCCTCCTCCTTTTCACTAATAAGCATGTGACCCTTTTTCTCTATATTATGCTGCTTAACTGCATTGTATGATCTCTTTTCTAATACTGGCAAAGATACTGATGTGGATGAATGGCACACAAGATTTAAAAAATCTGACTGGAAAACTAGTAGCATAAATTCTATTTCCTTCCAAAAAACCTGCAAACATGTCTTTTTCACTTAGATTAGGGCTGTCCAACTGGCAGCCCATGAGGGGATTGGGATTGGGATTGCCCCAGGCCCCGCGCTTCAAGGGGCCTCGCAGAGCCGGGCGTAGTAGCCATGGCTACTCTGCGCCATTGCCGGCTTTGCACCTGGCCGCTCGCTACCCCTCCCCTCTGCTGCCGTCACCACCGATGGCTTCTTCACATCCAGGGCATGTGGGATTGGGGCAGGGGCGGGGCCCCACACGAGCTGATTTGCCCCAGGTCCTGCCCCCTGCATGGGTCAGCTCTGCATGCAGCCCACAGGAACCTGCCCAGTCACTGCTCCCCTCATTAGTGGTGGCTTGGGGATTCAAACTCCCCCTTCTGCATCAACTTCCACTTCCTGCCCCCACTCCTAGACAGGAAGTGGCATAGTGGAAAGGGGCTGGGCTATTCACGCTACATGTGTGATGGGACAGAGGCTTAAACTATGCTGCACGTGTGGTGCTAACAACCCAAACTGTCTGTGTGATGCATTTAGGATGGCCATTGTCCCTGTTTTATACCAGACCATCCTGTTTTTAAACCTTTTGTCCCCTGTCCATTTCTCAACAAGGACTAGACTGCAAAAAGTCCTGTTTTTTAATTCATTGGTAGAAATGCAAGTCAATCACTTGTCCTCACAATTCTATTGGCTGTGCCTAGACCCAGGTGTTGCACAGCCAGGAAGTGCAGGGTTTCCAGCCAGGAAAGGAGGGCAGTGGCCTTTTTGTGGTGACCCCACCCCTTGCCGGTGATTGGCCAAGGTTCAGTAGCCCCATCCCTCACCAAGGGGATGTCCTATATTCTGGGGATGCATCAGTGGTCATCCTAGATGAGTCTGGCCAGGAATGGGGTGCGGCCAGAAGCGGAAGGAAATTGCACGTGGGGTAGGGCAAGCCAAGCTGCACGTGCAAGAGAGGTGGAGGCCACTAGTACTGCAAGAGACCCAAGCAGCTGCATCCCCTCACCTAGTATGCCACCATCACACAGCCCCTGACCACCAGGAAGTTGGACAGCCCTTACTTACATGATGTGTGTAAACTACTGCATCCTCTCTCATGCAATTCCCAAATTCTGAACAAGGATGAAGACCAATTGATTATACAGTAAGAGATCACACATACTGTAGCAAAAGAAACCATTAGATAGGAATGCTGACTAAAGGACACATTAAAATTGCACAAGTGAGAAAGAATATACAACCAGCGTGCCTACCTTGTTAATGTGCAGTTGCTGTTGCTGGAACTGCTGTTTGTGTTTCTCCAGAAACTGCTGATGCTGCTGCTGGATCACTAACTGCTGGAGGGCTTGGGCGTTCTGGGGCAGGGGAGCAGACTGCGTGCGCCCCAGCGGGCGGTGCTGCCGGAGCTTGTGAATTGAGGGGGAGACCCGATCTCCACTGACCACTGCATGGAGGGGCAGTGCCCCCAGTCCTGAAAGATACCAGTCTGAAGATAATATGAAGGAAAAAACAGCAGAGAAGAAAAAAGAAAGAAGAAAGGAAGGGAGAAAATGGCTGTTGAGTAACTTTGATGGTGAGAACAATATAGGTATTGTTAAAACCAGCCACACTGTCATTTATAGCTGAAGTACAAGCCCTTAAAAAAAACAAAACACCCCCCAAAGTAATCAGTTAACATTAGACAAAAGAACATTTTCAATAATCACTTGATACATGGTTTTGAAGCTTCCAGGGAAATTAACAGTTTTGGAGACTAGTAATGAGATGCAGAGCCTTTCATTCCTTGATCAATGGTATTAATTAAAATCAAGTTGGCAAATAGGCATAAAGAGTTTACTTACACAACATAAAAGTGTCTCAATCACTTCCTAGCAAGCAAGTGTAATCACAACCTGTATCCACCGTCATGCTTTCTGGCAGCCTCAGTAGAAATATAAGCAATGGAAGTATCAGAGGGGTGCCTTCTAGCACCAGGTTAGCCACTGGAGACATTGGGGAATTCTGGCTTTTTATTGCCCTATGTATTGTGTAAAATAGCATGACAACTTCAAGTGTAATAACCCAGTACTATCCATTAAGACATTTTCCCACGATAAATAAATAAAAATAGTTATATCAGTATTCTCTACACTTGGAATATTGAATACTGAGAATACTGAGGCAATGCTTTATAACTAAGGCAACTGGCAAATTTAGGTTGCCTGCCATAGCATTTGGGTAAAAAATGTTTAATATGTTTACTGGATTTCTTTGCTTGGACTATTATTGGGTGCTAAGAGTGCTGATAAAATTAAAGAACATTTAACAGGAAATACAATCCTTAAGACTACATACACTTCAGATAAAGGAAGGAATTCAACCCCCACGCCATTCTTTCTACAGGTTTTTGTTGTATTATTATTATTCCATTTATCTCCAAAGTGCATGGCATCTTTTGGCTATCCCCAGATACTCCATTACTAAAAATATGGTTGTGGGATATGGGTCCATTTTAACTATATGCCCTTCCTAACAATTTCTACAACCCATCTGTCCAAGTTGGAAGGGAGTACTTTGGAATAATGTGATAGTCCACGTCCTTGATAAATTCTCTCTTGAGTGACTGACTAGCACTGAGAGTGTTCTGCACCTGACTTCTCTCTACTGTCTATCCACTGAAAAAGGTATAATTTCTCAGCTCTCTGGAAAACTTACTCTCACAGGACCCATTTATTTTTATAGTAAGCTCTGTATTCTTTTTAAGGTTGTTCAACTGAAGTTTGGTTAAGTCTGATGTCCAAAAAGTTTTAAGAGGATCACAGTAACGGGCTTGTGGGTAGACTTCCATCATTCACACCAGTATAAGTCTTTATGCCATGAAATTCCTTGCTTTAGGCCTTGCTGAAAATCACTGGGCAGCTACAGAAACATTGTCTCAGAGTAACACTTCACAGACAGAAGTGCTCACACTACTTATTTGATTTTTTACCTGGGAAACTTAGAAACATAATACCCATTCAGTTCTGACAGAAAAAAAAAGTGGCAGCTGAGGTGCTCAAGGGAAACCAGCTCTGTTAAACCTTTCTAATGAAAGTCACTTTTGGTGAGAATAATTGTGTCTTGAATGTGAATAAGGCTGCATACACTTGAAGCAAAGACATGTTCTCTGTTCATTTTTTGTGGAGTGAAAAAAGGTAAGAGACTGCTCTTTTGGGCTTTGAAGGGTATTCCCATTCAGTTGTAAGTAGTTAGCAACCAGACAGACAAGGTTAGATGATCAGTTTTGGAATCAGATAGGTAGTTTCTGTATCTTTTAGCTGTACTCTTCCCTGCAGCACCTCTGCCACAACACCAAGCAGGACTGGTTGGTGAAGGCCATTTCAGCATCAGCTGGAACAGTAGCTGTGAACCACGCCAACCCAGGCTGAGACAGCCAGCTGCACCCAGAGAAGATTATGGTGGACAATAAAAAACTCCAACTCAATTATCAATTAAACAATTTCCTTCAAGAACTGGTGGCAGCCACAGACTGAAGCTTGGGAGCAAAAGCTGTCCAAGTACAGACCACTGGGCAATGCCTTGAGGGAGATGGATTACCATGTGATGATGCAGGTGCTGATCATTTGGGCACTCAGAGCATGGAACCCAAGTAAATGAGAGCGTCCTGAGAGCCTGCAGGATACCCCGGTACTAATCAAGGCTGATGAGATGCTACACAATCTGGCCCGACACCATCAGATGGTCAAGGGACATTGATGTTGAACATATTACTTGCCAATCTGGAGAGCTAGCTGAGACTCCCTGTCAGATGAAAGAGTGGGGAGATAGACTGAACTGTCCCCACTCCATACCATAGACTTGCCAACACTACTAAAATTGTTTGAGGATTTTCCGGTACGGAAAATTCTCAAACAATTGCAACCCATACTAGAAAGAGACCCTATTCTTAAGGAGATCTTCCCAGAGCCGCCCATCCTAGCCTTCAAACAAGCACCCAATCTCGCTAACCTCATCACCCGAAGCAAACTTCCTCAGGCCCAGAACACACCAAATGAATCCAGACCATGCCATGACAAGAAATGCAAAACCTGCCAACACATCTCCACCACCCCACAATTACTACACCCCACAACAGAGCCATCAACATTCCTGGATCTTACAGCTGCACCTCCAGAAATGTAATATATCTCATCCAATGCACAAAATGCCCTGATGGAAAATACGTAGGAGAGACCAAACAACAACTGCGCACCAGAATGAATGCACACCGGAAATCTATCAAAGACAGGAATACCCAATTACCTGTGGGGGCACATTTCTCACAAGAAAACCATTTTCTCTCCAATCTCTCAG